TAATGTCTTCAACTAGATACAATTTGTGATCTTTTGACGTATTGTTAAAAGAAATCGGTCCAGTGAGAGCTGAGAAAAAGTAGTGACAGTCACAAAAAAAAAAAATAAACACATCATGGTAAAATTAATACCTTCTCAGCTTCGCATCGAAGCTAAAATTGTGTATTATTGATGTAGAATTGTAATTTGGAGTAAAGTAAATATCAAAATATTGTTAAAATGCTCTGATTTGACTTATTTCTGCATTAGTAGTATGCTCTAAACAAGAGCATACTTTTTGTCATTTGATCCACATTGTATTTTGAAATAATTTATTTTTATCACTCTGTATTTTTATATTTTTCATTTGGATCACTCTGTATACACAATTCTTTTAAATGCTCTGATTTCCATTATTTCTATATTAGTAGAATGCTCTTATAATGCAGATTTCAAAGACATATCGTTTGTAGCGATATTCAACAATTTATTTTTTTTTGTCATTTGAATCACTCTGTATTTTGAAATAATTTATTTGGATCACTCTGTATACACAATTTTTTAAAAATGCTCAGATTTTAATAATTTTTGCATTAGTAGAATGCTCTAACCATGCAGATTTCAAAAACATATAGATTGTAGCGATATTCAACAATTTTTTTTTTTTTTGTCATTTGAATCACTCTGTATTTTTATATTTTTCATTTGGATCACTCTGTATACACAATTTTTTAAAAATGCTCTGATTTCAATAATTTTTGCATTAATGGAATGCTCTAACCATGCAGATTTCAAAAACATATAGATTGTAGCGATATTCAACAATTTTTTTTTTTTTGTCATTTGAATCACTCTGTATTTTGAAATAATTTATTTGGATCACTCTGTATACACAATTTTTAGCTTCGATGCGAATTAATTTTACTATGATGTGTTTTTTTATTTTTTTTTTTTAGCCTCGATGCGAATTAATTTTACTATGATGTGTTTTTTTATTTTTATTTTTTAATTTTTTTTTTTTGTGTCTGTGAACGCTCAATCTCATCTCTCGCTGGACCGATTTTGATGAACAATATGTCAAAAGATCAC